AGTGCACACATACACACATTCAATTATTTGCCAAGCATCAGTTCATTGTGGGAATGACAAATGTTTGTCCAAGATTTAGAAAATAAACAGTTCTCAACAATAATTTGTGCTACTGCTTTTATAGTTTCAAGTAGTTCACATCTGTTAACGAAAAAAAAAAAACCTAAAAGAATTTACCTCGATCAGGTAGATGGTATCACCTCACCAAAGCAGAAAAAGAAAATAATTTTTTAAACATATTGCAAAAAATGACCAGAAAAAAACTACATAGAAAAAAGTAAATAAATATTTTAAAGTATAAACCAAATAATATAAAATAAACTAAATTCAAAACTAAAAGACCAGATCTAGCTTAAAAAGGACTAAAATAGAAATACTGATGACAAAAACAAGAAAATACACAAATGCAAGCACAAATGTGTGGATGGACAATACAAATGCATGGAGATAAGAATTCATCTCCTTTGATTCAACACAATTTACTGACAAGAATAGGGAAACAGCAAAAACAATTATTTGTCTTGAGTAAATCATCCATACTACTTAGTATTTGCCAAATGTTTGCTCAGCATTCAGTAAATAGAGAATGTGTAGGTGTGCCCTTATGTTAATAAATAATAAAGCTTTGCAGATTATATACATGTTATAATAAAACATAATATAATCTGCAAAGCTTTATCTACTTATTGTACAGATGTCATGGTGATTCAAACAAATTTCACTGTAAATAATTATCTTTATTATTTCAAATAAATCAGATCTTAAATTTATTTTTTGTTTTTAAAATATCTACTTTTCATTCTTAATTCTGATAATAGAAAAATGCACTGTAATTTTGAAATTATAATATTATCTATTATTTCATCAACTATGTTGTATTTAATATATTAATATTACTTTCTTAACAAATTGATTTTAAAATACACATATGACAAATATATAATAGAAAGAAGCCATCTAAAGATAATTAAAAGAAAGACATAATAAGCTAGATACATTGTAAAGGAATCTCGAGAAAAGCTGACGAAGACAGTGCTTCAGAAAAAATGGAAGAATGAAAAAGGAATGGCATGATGTTACAAAAGAACAAACTAAATTATACAAACACTCTTTTCAAACATTTCCAGCATTAACTTTACACACTGAACAAATGTCTGTACTTATGGGTTAAGAGGACATCAATCAGAAATAGAGTTTTTTCCGAATAATGCAATTTTTTTTTGTCAAATTTAATACAATTGTTAAATTAAACAATAAATTACGATTTATAAAGATATAACAAAATCTCACAAATTCTAATAATAAACCACTTGAATATGCAAATTGTTTTGTAGTGTATACAGCAAATATGGCAAATAGGTGATATCTATAATCATCCTATTTGATTTTTTTTCATTTTTACAACCTTATCAGTAAATTTTCTTCTTTTTAGATTTAAATTTACTAGTCTGTTATTTTGATATTTTCATTCAAAATTGCGACTTTGATTGCTATTTCCAACTGGCGTCCTCTTAACCCAAATGTCTTTGTACCCAAAAAGTACCCAAATGTCTTTGGCCCCATTTACAGGTTTTAGAAGACGGTTAAAAAGAACGAACATGGACAGCATTCATTAAATAGATAACGGACAGAAAAACTTGGAGAAGAATTGAGGGGATTGGTGAAAAAACGGTATATCCCACATTAGGAAGTTTTGTGAGAAAAAGCAGGAATTGTGTTTCAATTCATCACCACTTTAATTTACAACATTTTATTAACACGGGTGTACAACCCACGGACAATATGGCCAAAGCATTACAGTTTTTCAGAAGACGGATCGACGACACACGAATCCAAATTTGTCAACTCATTTTCCATAGTTTTGCAGGCTACACCGTCTTTCCACAGTCCCTCGACCATCTATTGGCAGCAACCTTCCGAACATGGCACCACACAGAAGGAAACAGAAGATAGAAAAATATGACAAAGAATGAACAGGATCAACACTCATTTATGCATTATTATTTGCTTTACAAATTTTGTAATTTACGCATTTATTTATTGTTTGTAACTTATAGTAATTGTTTATTGTTAAATGAATTGCGAGTAAATTATATTACGCAATGTAGCTCTTAGGTTCATATGATAAATATCAATAATAAAGCTAAAAAAATAAAGTGGTTAATAAATAAACGCATTTAAAACGTACAAAGATATATATAATGAAAATAGAATTGAAAATACGAGATTAATTGACTTGATTTTTTTATTTATTATTTGCAAATGAAAGACGAATAACTCACTTTATTAACTTGTGGAGTTGCTTTCATTCGTATATTTCTTATCCTTCATCATTTGGCACAATATATAAGTATAATAAATTACGTAGCTAATTAGATTGATTCAGAGTTTTATTTCTCCTAATTTCCATTTTAAAAATTGAAAAAAAGAAAATTGTTTATTCCTAAAAATGTTCGTCTGCAAGTCTCCTAGACTAGAAAGTTAGTTTGTAAAATCGATGATTGGTGTCGCTACAATTTGAATAATGTCAAATCACATATATACGTATTATAATTGACGTTGAAATATTTTTATTTCAAATGTTTTATTTATACTTAATAAGCATAAAATTGGAAGAAATTAATTTAAAAATTGAATAACCGCTTTCGAATATATTTCTTCTGTCTATTAAATTAATATAATTTTAAAAAATTTTATTATGAATTTTATGGATATGACATAATATGTGAACTTGAGCGACGTCGGTATTAAACATTGATGTTTATGATTTCTCTTTCTTTTAATGTGAAAATGGTTTGTGTTTAAATAAAGAGCTGTTTAAAAATAATAATAGAATTTTAATGATCAAATATGCAATCAAGTAACGCTTAGAAAGATCAGTCGGAGCAAGGAAAAATCGGCCAAGATAGATGCACAATGAAGAAAAATTTTCGACAAATGAAAACTTTGAGTGTCCATTTCTATAATTTTGAATCTAATCTGATAATACATCTATTAATAAACTGAATTTGAGCTATTTTCTTGGAAATTTAACAATTAATAGAGTTAGGAAATACAAACTGTATTCGATTCTTCTTCTTTATTTCGAATAATAAATTTTCTTATAAGAAAATTTATTAAGAAATAAATACTCACTGACAAAGGTACTTAGCCATAAAGAAGGCATTAAAATCGAATATAACTATTAGTATGAACGTAATGATGATGGTAATAAGCGGTTTATAATATCGTAGCAAAGTGACAATTTTCTGTGGAAGAACAATTTAAAGGACCCTTCTGTACCTCGTAGGACGTCCTCTTGGAATACATGAACGAAACGGTCAGGTATCCACGCAAATAATCATCCTATACTACCTTGCGACAGATTTGCGGTTGTTACAACATTTGGAGCGGATGTTGTAACAACCGCTCCAAATACCTCACATTTGTAGATGGTTCAAGTTGGCTTCCCATGGGAAATGCTCGATGTTTGATGGACAACAAATTTGAAGATCAGGAAGGCAAGAAAGGATGGCATTAATTTATGACAGAGACATTTTTGGGAAATTCTAGCTATATGCGGCCGAGCATTATCTTATGCTGAAAAATGGCTGTTTGCAGTCCTGACATGAAAGGTAACGCATGATGACGTAAAATTTCCTGAACGTATCACTATGCCATCATGTCCGTCATACCACTGTTAGGGTACAAGGCAGCTGCCCATATGATCAAGCCAGCTGTGGGGGCAGTGTGCTGCTCAACAGTAAAGGCGGGATTGAAGCAGTTACCACTGATCCTAAACATTCTAACATAGTGGTCGCCCATTCCCAAACGGAATCAAGATTTGTCGATAAAGACTGTTTTCTGCCGGTTTATAGCATTCCATGCTTCTTTGTCACGGTATAACTGCGATGTTGGAACTGCTAATGCAGGACGCATAACGCTTGCCATGCATACAAACTGCCTCTGCAAGTTACCTGCCAATGGTACGGTAAAAGATAGGGTTCTGTAGCAAAATTTGCATCTTCTATGGATGGTGAATAAAGACGCCGTTGCAGTTGTTGGTGCCTCATAGTCAAGTCAGAACGATCCAGATTAGAAAATTCTGTGAAACGACTATTCTGTTACCTTAGTTACCTGATGTGTCCTTCCTCAATCTTTGTCAGCTGTGCAAATGTCTTTGACTGTATTATACACGTATGCCTTGTATTTGAAGATTTCCTAGTTACAAGGACAGTGAAAATTCTGAACACAGTGAGCCTCTGCGAGCCTTTTTGTAGGATAGTGTGGTATCGATTTTAGAGATCTATGATGGCATTACCTGGCATACAATCAGACCATAACTGTAATCATTTACATACCTATATGAGACATAGCTGTATGCCAAATTTTGCAGTGATCGGACAATTAAATCTGGGTGTTTAACGTCTTTTGTAATCAATATCTTACAAAAACGATCGAACTGTCTTTCCATCCAATTATAGATAAGATAGGATAGAAAGATATCGTTAAAAAACAAAATATCTTTCGTAAACTTTGTGTATAAATTTGAGCAGCATTGTGAATTTAGTTTAGGCTTTCTATTATAAAAAGTTTAAACTAAATTTTAGTGAAAACATTTTCTAAAAAAGAAAGTTTTATTATTAAAATGTTTGCATATAGTTACGAAGGAAAACATTGTAACTTCTACATGAACTTTTTGACAATTATCAATATTATAATTCTATACGTGTATCATTTTATTCTTTGACAATATTTCTTACTTTTACTTACTTTTAGAAAGCGATCATCTTCAAAACAACAAATTCTGCCGATGTTGCAAAATTTCTAAGACGGTATTCCAAATGCTCCCGATCCGAATCGCTAGTTCGAACGCCATTTCGGGCACAGTAATATGTATTATTTCTGAGGAAGACTTTTTTTTTGCTTTTAATGTAATAAATATTTTTAAAAACACAATAAAAGTTTTAATTAAAAAATAAATAAATAAAAAGTTATTTCAAGAGAAGATTTAGGAGAGACTGGCAACACTGCTTCATTCTTCGTAAAATTTGACTCCATTGCGATTTTAACGCGAAGTTGTTTTTGCAGAGAAAAATTTGTGTCAAAGAAATTAAATGGCAGATGTATTAGATATCGATGGAGGGGGAGAAGATTTTGAAGTCGAAGAGGACGGCGACAGTAAGTTTTGTTTACTAGAAGTTCATTGTTATATTGAAAAATATGAAATTAATTATCATCTTTCTTGTGTAGAAAGTGTACAGAGATTAAAGAACAAAGTAAAACGAAGGAAAGGAAGAGGATTTCACTCAGGTTTGCTTTAATTTATTGTTATTTTCATATATTTTACTCATAAAGGAAAAAAATAATGAAATGAAAAGTTTAAAATTAGTAGAAAATTATTAAACGTATTTTAAAAATGAATTTAATGTATTATATGGTAGAAGTGCATCTAGGTAGCCCCAATGGCCTAGGACCCAATGGTCCAAGACTATGGCGTTTAATTATTTAGCCCACGTGACTATCCAACTTTCAGTAGCCCACTCGACTGTTCGTGGAGTACTTGATGCTATATAGTTTTTGGGGGTGTGGGTGCTGAGGTGCAAGCAATGGCGAGCACCAAGGTGCACATCTATGTGCAAAACATGTAGAATAGGCGGTAGACTGATATGTGTTAAAATCTGACCTTTGTGCCATAGGGGCTACCTAAGTGCAATTTTACCTATTATATTAAATAAATGTTAAAATAAAAGGTTATAACTGTTGCTTGATTTGTTTGAGATTTCTGTTGCCACACGACTACTTTCCTTTGACGATCTTGCAGTGTTGGGGCTTGTGATTTAGTTTTAAAGAACTAATAAACATTTCCTCTACTACCCTAAAGACTTATTTGTAATAGTTTGTTGACAAAATGACAAAATTCAGTGGTTACGATGGCTGCGTTTGACAGACTGGACAGTCCTGGAGCTGTTGAGTATTTTTCTGCTGAACTCCCTCTATGGTAGCACTGTTTCGGAATATGTTTGGTGTTTTGAAGTCACATTTAGTAATGTCTTTTGTTTACACTACCTATTGCTTGCTGCAACTGACCAATGATGGCTGCTTCCTACTCTAATGCGTGCATCACACTTGTTTGGCAGATGTAACTATGTAATGACTACCAATTGAAACACCTTTGCTCTGTTTCAACTGTTGACTGCTGAACACAGCCAATGTGTTACTTATAGTTTTGTGTTATCTGAAGCCATGGAGTCAGTGCTTAAATGCTTTGACTGATCCCAATGACTTAGTCTGTGTTCTCTTTGATTCTGATTCCTTTATTTGTACAGGGTGTCCACAAAGTCTGGGTACATAAGGATTAACACATACTTTTAAAACAAAATAATTTTATTTGATTCTAATATTAATAAATAACATTTTCAATATGATTTTCATCATTTTCAATACATAATTTGATGCACCATAATTTGTGGACATCATTACCAGTCAGTGTGCTGAAATCGATGGTAATACAGACCTATTTAATCGTGTTCACCTGAATTTTGCATGGCGCATCAAATTATGTATTGAAAATGTTATTTATTAATACAGTAGAGCGTCGATTATCCGAAAGTCAATCATCCAAAACGTCAATCATCCGAAAGAATTCCAGTCGGCAAATTTAAATTTTCACCAGTGCTGTGGCACTGCAATCTTTGGCTATGTCTTGGGCTACTCAAATATTTTACGTTTTTGATACTAAATTAACTTCTGAAGTATAATTTTTTATTGTTTTTACATTTTTCAATATATTTATTTTGTTCGTACAAAATAAAAAAAATAATTTTTAACGATACAATAGTCTTCATTAGGCTTAACATTGACGAAAATTCAACGCAAAGCGACACGTAACGGAGAAAAATGTCAAGATGGGATAAATTAATATATTTTTTTCGTACATAATCGGTTATCCGAAACATCGATCTTCCGAACCACCCCAGTCCCTAATTGATTTGGATAATCAACACACTACTGTATTAGTATCAAATACTTTTAAAACAAAATAAGTTTGTGTGTTAATCCTTATGTACCCAGACTTTGTAGACACCCTGTATGTTGACTAGCAGATATGCATGGCATTACCTGGGTGAAAAGTAATAATGATAAACATTAAAATAAAAATTATATTAAAATTTAGTCTACCATTGTTATGTTTATTATGAAGTGTCAAGGGGATGAAATCAGAGAACTGGGTGTTAAGTTTCATGGTATCCTTATTTTCCACAGGGTCGTAGTGAATGAGTATGAAACATTTGGTGAAGGTTAATCAAAAAGTTTGTGGAGAACACAGATGTACTGTACAAACATTCTATCATATATGATTATGACAAATACTTAAATTGCAAACAATTAACAATAATTTATTTATCACGAGAAGATAATTCAAGACATCAAATTTTTCTAATGTTAACTGTAATGTAGCATTTGCAGCCGAACTGAAATGGTATTTCGCCAGACAATCGAATTTTGTACAAAATATTTAACTCAGCATCCCCAAAAATCCCTAAAATTATATTTTGTGTCTGCTGATAACTTTGTATTAAATAATTTTCCTATTTAAATGCCACCATCTTGCTGGTCAGGAAGGGGGTCTGCTGCAGGTTGGGGGTTGAAGTTAATTCGATCAAAGTTGTTGACCTTCTGGATGTGAGGATGGTTTCAAAAAGTTTCATTGAGTGTTCTCAAACTGTATTGAAATGTATAAAAAATAAAAAACAAACTAATTAACTCTTGTGTTGGTTGTTTTTGCATATGTGTAAAACCTGACAACCAGGGTCCAGTCAGGTCATTCCTACACGTAGGTGAAATTTGGGGATGTTTTTGTTTGGGTCACTTGGTTGAGCAGGACATGACTTGAATCCAGTCTGAACCATTATAACTACTAAACTCTTATTTCATTGAAATTAGACTGGCAGAATTAGATAACTTAAATAGGGTATAACAATTTCCAGGGTTTATTACACCAAGGCCGACTGAAAGAAGGACCAGAACTTTTATAAAAAAAAAAAAAGGGTTGTCTTTAATAATCACATATCAAATTTAGGTAAGTATGCATTTTGGGTACAAGGACCCTTCATCAGTTTACAAACACATGGTAACAACGTAACAAATACAATACCAATAACCTGCCAATACAATGGGATAACCGATATATGCAGCGCACTGCATTTACAATTTCTCAATGTAACCCATACACTAAAACTAAAATATCAAGTATAAATTAGAATACAATGACAATGTGGTATAACATATTATCTGGGACCAGTAAATGTCTTAGTTTCTCCTTCATTTTCCAAATTCTGGTAGATGGTTACACTATTAATAATAAATATTGTTAAGTATATTAAAAAACACAAAAAAAGGGGGAAGGAAGATAACAATGAACTTACTCTTATTAAAACCAATTGGTCTCCAGATTTTAACACAAGCAAAATACATCTGATCTATAAGCCATTGTGAAGTCAACTGCACTGTCCATCTGCATTTTACAAAGTGATGTGACTATACTCCCTACATCTGTTCAGCATCTGTTTCAAGGTTAAGTGAAAACTATGTCAATCCACCCCTCATATAGCTTCAGTCCCATGTTATTAATTCTGATGTCTTCCTGTATTTTCAAAATTTCTAGGTGTTCCTGTAGTCTTTTTACTTGATTGTTTTCTGTCATAATACACTTGATGCTATCTTTTAAAATTTCACAACCTTCAGTGTTGCAATGTTGTGCCACTGATGATGATATCAAATTATTTTTAATGGCATATATGTTTTAATCCTTGTCTTTAATTTTCTTCCAGTTTCTCCTATATATTTTTTTTTATATGAACAACTGCAATCTAATGAATAAACTACATTATCTTTTTCTAAATCATTATTTTCATGTTTGCTGTTTATCAATATGTGTTCATTATTTTCATGTTTGCTGTTTATCAATATGTGTTCATTATTTTCATGTTTGCTGTTTATCAATATGTGTTCATTATTTTCATGTTTGCTGTTTATCAATATGTGTTCATTATTTTCATGTTTGCTGTTTATCAATATGTGTTCATTATTTTCATGTTTGCTGTTTATCAATATGTGTTCATTATTTTCATGTTTGCTGTTTATCAATATGTGTTCATTATTTTCATGTTTGCTGTTTATCAATATGTGTTCATTATTTTCATGTTTGCTGTTTATCAATATGTGTTCATTATTTTCATGTTTGCTGTTTATCAATATGTGTTCATTATTTTCATGTTTGCTGTTTATCAATATGTGTTCATTATTTTCATGTTTGCTGTTTATCAATATGTGTTCATTATTTTCATGTTTGCTGTTTATCAATATGTGTTCATTATTTTCATGTTTGCTGTTTATCAATATGTGTTCATTATTTTCATGTTTGCTGTTTATCAATATGTGTTCATTATTTTCATGTTTGCTGTTTATCAATATGTGTTCATTATTTTCATGTTTGCTGTTTATCAATATGTGTTCATTATTTTCATGTTTGCTGTTTATCAATATGTGTTCATTATTTTCATGTTTGCTGTTTATCAATATGTGTTCATTATTTTCATGTTTGCTGTTTATCAATATGTGTTCATTATTTTCATGTTTGCTGTTTATCAATATGTGTTCATTATTTTCATGTTTGCTGTTTATCAATATGTGTTCATTATTTTCATGTTTGCTGTTTATCAATATGTGTTCATTATTTTCATGTTTGCTGTTTATCAATATGTGTTCATTATTTTCATGTTTGCTGTTTATCAATATGTGTTCATTATTTTCATGTTTGCTGTTTATCAATATGTGTTCATTATTTTCATGTTTGCTGTTTATCAATATGTGTTCATTATTTTCATGTTTGCTGTTTATCAATATGTGTTCATTATTTTCATGTTTGCTGTTTATCAATATGTGTTCATTATTTTCATGTTTGCTGTTTATCAATATGTGTTCATTATTTTCATGTTTGCTGTTTATCAATATGTGTTCATTATTTTCATGTTTGCTGTTTATCAATATGTGTTCATTATTTTCATGTTTGCTGTTTATCAATATGTGTTCATTATTTTCATGTTTGCTGTTTATCAATATGTGTTCATTATTTTCATGTTTGCTGTTTATCAATATGTGTTCATTATTTTCATGTTTGCTGTTTATCAATATGTGTTCATTATTTTCATGTTTGCTGTTTATCAATATGTGTTCATTATTTTCATGTTTGCTGTTTATCAATATGTGTTCATTATTTTCATGTTTGCTGTTTATCAATATGTGTTCATTATTTTCATGTTTGCTGTTTATCAATATGTGTTCATTATTTTCATGTTTGCTGTTTATCAATATGTGTTCATTATTTTCATGTTTGCTGTTTATCAATATGTGTTCATTATTTTCATGTTTGCTGTTTATCAATATGTGTTCATTATTTTCATGTTTGCTGTTTATCAATATGTGTTCATTATTTTCATGTTTGCTGTTTATCAATATGTGTTCATTATTTTCATGTTTGCTGTTTATCAATATGTGTTCATTATTTTCATGTTTGCTGTTTATCAATATGTGTTCATTATTTTCATGTTTGCTGTTTATCAATATGTGTTCATTATTTTCATGTTTGCTGTTTATCAATATGTGTTCATTATTTTCATGTTTGCTGTTTATCAATATGTGTTCATTATTTTCATGTTTGCTGTTTATCAATATGTGTTCATTATTTTCATGTTTGCTGTTTATCAATATGTGTTCATTATTTTCATGTTTGCTGTTTATCAATATGTGTTCATTATTTTCATGTTTGCTGTTTATCAATATGTGTTCATTATTTTCATGTTTGCTGTTTATCAATATGTGTTCATTATTTTCATGTTTGCTGTTTATCAATATGTGTTCATTATTTTCATGTTTGCTGTTTATCAATATGTGTTCATTATTTTCATGTTTGCTGTTTATCAATATGTGTTCATTATTTTCATGTTTGCTGTTTATCAATATGTGTTCATTATTTTCATGTTTGCTGTTTATCAATATGTGTTCATTATTTTCATGTTTGCTGTTTATCAATATGTGTTCATTATTTTCATGTTTGCTGTTTATCAATATGTGTTCATTATTTTCATGTTTGCTGTTTATCAATATGTGTTCATTATTTTCATGTTTGCTGTTTATCAATATGTGTTCATTATTTTCATGTTTGCTGTTTATCAATATGTGTTCATTATTTTCATGTTTGCTGTTTATCAATATGTGTTCATTATTTTCATGTTTGCTGTTTATCAATATGTGTTCATTATTTTCATGTTTGCTGTTTATCAATATGTGTTCATTATTTTCATGTTTGCTGTTTATCAATATGTGTTCATTATTTTCATGTTTGCTGTTTATCAATATGTGTTCATTATTTTCATGTTTGCTGTTTATCAATATGTGTTCATTATTTTCATGTTTGCTGTTTATCAATATGTGTTCATTATTTTCATGTTTGCTGTTTATCAATATGTGTTCATTATTTTCATGTTTGCTGTTTATCAATATGTGTTCATTATTTTCATGTTTGCTGTTTATCAATATGTGTTCATTATTTTCATGTTTGCTGTTTATCAATATGTGTTCATTATTTTCATGTTTGCTGTTTATCAATATGTGTTCATTATTTTCATGTTTGCTGTTTATCAATATGTGTTCATTATTTTCATGTTTGCTGTTTATCAATATGTGTTCATTATTTTCATGTTTGCTGTTTATCAATATGTGTTCATTATTTTCATGTTTGCTGTTTATCAATATGTGTTCATTATTTTCATGTTTGCTGTTTATCAATATGTGTTCATTATTTTCATGTTTGCTGTTTATCAATATGTGTTCATTATTTTCATGTTTGCTGTTTATCAATATGTGTTCATTATTTTCATGTTTGCTGTTTATCAATATGTGTTCATTATTTTCATGTTTGCTGTTTATCAATATGTGTTCATTATTTTCATGTTTGCTGTTTATCAATATGTGTTCATTATTTTCATGTTTGCTGTTTATCAATATGTGTTCATTATTTTCATGTTTGCTGTTTATCAATATGTGTTCATTATTTTCATGTTTGCTGTTTATCAATATGTGTTCATTATTTTCATGTTTGCTGTTTATCAATATGTGTTCATTATTTTCATGTTTGCTGTTTATCAATATGTGTTCATTATTTTCATGTTTGCTGTTTATCAATATGTGTTCATTATTTTCATGTTTGCTGTTTATCAATATGTGTTCATTATTTTCATGTTTGCTGTTTATCAATATGTGTTCATTATTTTCATGTTTGCTGTTTATCAATATGTGTTCATTATTTTCATGTTTGCTGTTTATCAATATGTGTTCATTATTTTCATGTTTGCTGTTTATCAATATGTGTTCATTATTTTCATGTTTGCTGTTTATCAATATGTGTTCATTATTTTCATGTTTGCTGTTTATCAATATGTGTTCATTATTTTCATGTTTGCTGTTTATCAATATGTGTTCATTATTTTCATGTTTGCTGTTTATCAATATGTGTTCATTATTTTCATGTTTGCTGTTTATCAATATGTGTTCATTATTTTCATGTTTGCTGTTTATCAATATGTGTTCATTATTTTCATGTTTGCTGTTTATCAATATGTGTTCATTATTTTCATGTTTGCTGTTTATCAATATGTGTTCATTATTTTCATGTTTGCTGTTTATCAATATGTGTTCATTATTTTCATGTTTGCTGTTTATCAATATGTGTTCATTATTTTCATGTTTGCTGTTTATCAATATGTGTTCATTATTTTCATGTTTGCTGTTTATCAATATGTGTTCATTATTTTCATGTTTGCTGTTTATCAATATGTGTTCATTATTTTCATGTTTGCTGTTTATCAATATGTGTTCATTATTTTCATGTTTGCTGTTTATCAATATGTGTTCATTATTTTCATGTTTGCTGTTTATCAATATGTGTTCATTATTTTCATGTTTGCTGTTTATCAATATGTGTTCATTATTTTCATGTTTGCTGTTTATCAATATGTGTTCATTATTTTCATGTTTGCTGTTTATCAATATGTGTTCATTATTTTCATGTTTGCTGTTTATCAATATGTGTTCATTATTTTCATGTTTGCTGTTTATCAATATGTGTTCATTATTTTCATGTTTGCTGTTTATCAATATGTGTTCATTATTTTCATGTTTGCTGTTTATCAATATGTGTTCATTATTTTCATGTTTGCTGTTTATCAATATGTGTTCATTATTTTCATGTTTGCTGTTTATCAATATGTGTTCATTATTTTCATGTTTGCTGTTTATCAATATGTGTTCATTATTTTCATGTTTGCTGTTTATCAATATGTGTTCATTATTTTCATGTTTGCTGTTTATCAATATGTGTTCATTATTTTCATGTTTGCTGTTTATCAATATGTGTTCATTATTTTCATGTTTGCTGTTTATCAATATGTGTTCATTATTTTCATGTTTGCTGTTTATCAATATGTGTTCATTATTTTCATGTTTGCTGTTTATCAATATGTGTTCATTATTTTCATGTTTGCTGTTTATCAATATGTGTTCATTATTTTCATGTTTGCTGTTTATCAATATGTGTTCATTATTTTCATGTTTGCTGTTTATCAATATGTGTTCATTATTTTCATGTTTGCTGTTTATCAATATGTGTTCATTATTTTCATGTTTGCTGTTTATCAATATGTGTTCATTATTTTCATGTTTGCTGTTTATCAATATGTGTTCATTATTTTCATGTTTGCTGTTTATCAATATGTGTTCATTATTTTCATGTTTNTTTTTTTTTTACTGACTCCGCAGCCTTGCTTAAAAGTGTCACACCACCTGTTTTATTAGCCTTTGGCTAATATTTGTCATTTTTGTCACTTCTCTCTATTTTGATCAAGTCATTTGAAATGATTTTTTTCTTTATTGTTTTTAAAATTCAGCTGTCAAAAATAAGAAATTAGCTGATTTTAGATGCTGTATCATTGCTATTTCTATGCCAGTAGCCGTATTTATTTAAACTTCCAAATCTAACTAGAGGGCACTTATAAATTTCTGTGCCAAAAACATATAGCCTGTTCTTACCCTTACAGCAATAAGTTTCATTTGCAATTTTATGACTCTACATATGGTTTATAAAATTACTGCACATGCAATTACTGTGCTAACATCTAAGATGAAGTTGGGTGAGATGCTACAGTGGGAGATTACATTGTAGCATCTCACCTGACTCTTAATACTGAGAGTAATTAATGAATGTATAAGAAGTAACAAATTAAAATTGAAGCTTTAAACTACAACATTTATTTTTTGCATTTAACATATACTAGGTAGCATTTTATTTCATGTTGTTAAAATACTTTTTCATCTAGCTTGTTTGCACTATAAATATGTGATTTTTCAGTTGTGTCATACTTTGATTTTATCACTCATTCATAACAAGTACAAAGTAATAAAAAGAAAAAAGATGGATGAGTGTAAGTTGTCTGTAGTACAGTTAAAATCATTTATTCAGTTTCCTAAATAAATTAATATAATATATTAATTTATTTAGGAAACTGAATACTTGTTATGAATGAGTGATAAAATCAAAGTATGACACAACTGAAAAATCATATATTTATAGTGCAAACAAGCTAGATGAAAAAGTGTTTTAACAACATGAAATAAAATGCTACCTAGTATATGATAAATGCAAAAAATAATATATTAATAATCTTAAAAAAATAATCTTAATATAATATATTAAGATATAAATAATTTTAAAATTTACTATTTTTAGATGGAACAGTTAGAGAAGAAATACAAGATTATGAAGCAATGGAAACTGATGACAGTAATGAGCCAGGACCGCAGCGATGTAAGCATCTTTCCAAATGAAATAATTTTATCTTGATTTGTCTTATAATTGAAAATTGTTATTTGATGAGCAAAACTGATTAGTCATAAAATGAAAGGACATAATAATACAAAGATTTTATATATAAAAATATGAATAGTTATATCAATTATCAACAATACATTTAACATTATTAAATGTTTAATTTAATAAATATATTTGCCAGTTAATGTTAAACAAAAATTTTTTGCCTCATAATCAATGTATTTAAAATAAAAATGTAATAGATTACAATTAAGATTAGATTTTGATTGTGTACTGCATAAACAACAAAATTTACTTTTTCCTTGTTATTTTTGATAGTATAAAAGCTATCAGAACTTCTTTTGCATGGAAAATGCCTTTTTATTTGATTAAAGAATAAATAAGAGTTTTCTATAATTGAATCTTCTAAGCTCATGATAGAAAGCATATCTTGGTATTCATTCTAACTGAAAGAATTTTCTAATAAATTGCAATTGTAAAGGCTTTGCTATAAGAAATCTTCCTAACTATAGAGATTTTTTTAAATAAAAGTACTATAAATCAACATCTATAATTGATAATGTCAAGCAATGTGACTAGTTTACTCAATACAAATCATTATAAATATTTATAATATAATTAATTATACTTCATAATGCATTATTTTAAAATTTCACTTATATTAATATATTTTTTCTTATAATTAGGATAATTACCCAATATTTGAAAATGTTAACTGGATTTTATCATGAATTTTTTGTTTAAACAATAATTATAATTAAAAGTGAATAACATGAAAAAGAATCTATTGCTGAAAATTTTTTATATTCCTATGACAAAGTATTTTGATTTGCAAGATGATCTGATCTTTTAAGTGGAAGTTATCAATATTACAAAAATACCAATATCCACCATTGTCACTGACATTTTGTATTGGTTTACAATGAATAAAGATGCATTCTCATTTTTAGCATTTTATAGATTTTTCAAAGTATTTTCTATAGTTTAATTTTATTATAATTTTATGTTACTATCATTTAATGGTATTTAATATTAATCTGTCTTCATCAAAATCTCATTCATGTGTGTAACATATTACATTGATATTTGCAGTACAGCATATTATTTTATATCTAGATGTATTATGGAAAAAGCTATATGATAATCATACCAGATTTTTTAATATTATTAGTCTATTATTTTAAATATTACTGGTCTTGTGAGTTAATAAATTAGAACTTTAATAAAAGTTTTAATTTATTAATTCACTATTGACATGTTTTAGTAGAACAAATTTCAATAAAACTTACAAGAACAGGAAATTATTTAATTTTTTTTACATTTGTCTAAAATATTTTTAATGTTTTAAAAAATGTTTGATAACCTTTTAAAAATGTTCAAAAATTTCTGATTTTGGAATTTAATTAAATACTTGAAATGTCATCTTTTTTTGGTCTGTATTTTGTTTATCATGTGATTTGAAGAAGACATTGTAAACTTGTAAAGATTAAAATTATTTATATGCTTAAAAGATTTGCTGGGTTCCATACGAGGTTAATAAAATTATTTATTTATTTATTAAGTGAATATGCTTATTTTTTGTTTTGCTTTTTTATTTTAGCTGTTGAAGGATGGATATTATTTGTGACAGGTGTTCATGAAGAAGCACAAGAAGATGATATCTATGAGAAATTTGCAGAATATGGTGAAATAAAAAATTTACATTTGAATCTTGATCGTAGAACTGGATTCTTAAAGGTATTAGGCAGAATTACAATTTTTTTAAATAATAAGATTGCATTACCTTTATGCAGAGTTTTCTTTACAAAAAATTTAGTTAATAAGACAAACTTATTTTAACAGCTAATAACCATAGTCATTTATTCCAACTATAAGTATGGAAAAAATATAGTCAGTTGTGAAATGTCAATAATTATTTGTATACAAAGAAACAAATAATAATAACCTGCAATGATATACAATAGCAGTAATTTTTCTGTGCCTAGTAGTTTTAATGGGTATTTTTCACCAAATTAACTTGTCTATACCTCCTTGATATCCTTACATTACATATTAGCTAATTATAAGCCCTCAAATTGCTTGTAAGAAGTTGCATGCAAATGCATACAATTTTTTAACACAAGTGCATACGTGTGTTGATTTTCTTTTCTGAAGTCAGTTTGGTGATTTGACAATGCAGGTCTCTTTCAGTTGCTGTAAGTGATATTCATGATGCCATGAATGTTTCTCAGCTATGCATGATATATTGATGTGACAGTTTTGTATACCTACAACCTTGAATTCTTGTTTCTAGATCAGTGTTTTTCAACCTTCTTGAATACATGACCCCTTTACAAGTTAAAAAATTCTGGTGACCCCTCTGGGCCATATTGAAACTATATCAGTGATTTTAAAAACTACGTATTTAATTGTCTTTCTGTTGAGACCTAAATATCGATCAAAAAACCAATTGTACTGTTAAATAAACAGCCACAGCCTTCTCACTGAAATTGTAGTTTTTTTTATTGTAGTGTAGGACCTACAAACACTTGTCTTTTTCTTTTACCCGCAACCTCCCGTGTAAGGCTTTGTGACCCTCCTGGGGTCGCAACCCACAGGTTGAAAAACACTGTTCTAGATGATAGTCTAGGAAACTATGGCCTTCAACAATTTAAATGTTTTTGCAGTTTTATTTGTGCCTGAAAAATGCAGAAAAATCATTTTCTGATCTATCTGAGAGAAATCTCAGCCCTTATGTCATTTATTTCTAATGGAACTTGTTTTACATTAGCCCATGTATCACAAAGTTTTAAAGGCTCTTAAACAAAACAATATCTCAACTAAACAACATATGAAATTTGACATATTTTAAGAAACATTACAGGATTTTTCAGAATCATCAAATTTGAGTAACAGCAATTACATGCAGTGTAATTTTGCATGAAAAATTAGTGGAAAAGTTGCCACTTTTACATGTTTTAAAAAATTGCATTGATTGTGAGTTAAAAGCATTAATATCTTGATGATAATATTACTATTAACAATAGTACAAATTAATTATTTACTGTATCCAGAATAAAAAATTTTAATAAACTCTCCATCAAGAAAAAAGTTTGTCAGAATTCTATATTTTATACACTACCAGCTCTAGCCTTATCTGCACTCTGTACAAGTTTTGTCCTAGGCTTGCTAATCAATGTAAATATTGTGCCCATTTTCTCTTTTTGCCTCAGATTTGATTTTTATCTAGAGCTGAAACTGATCTTATTTGTCATCAAAGCTGATAAATATATACAGTGCCAAAATAATATATACATATAGATACAAAAGAGAAATACACTTTTTATCTTTTGTATTTGTTGGTTCATTGAAATTCTTAATTTGTGCTTTTATATTTTTTTAAAAATATGAATGAGGTATTTGCAGAAATTTATAATTGATAAGGAAAATTGAGGAAATCAAATGCTTACTTTTTATGATGATAAAATTTATACTATTATTATTATTATATATCATTCATTAAATTTCTGTTACATTGCTTGATACAACATGCAAAATAATATATATTATTTTGNTCATTATTTTCATGTTTGCTGTTTATCAATATGTGTTCATTATTTTCATGTTTGCTGTTTATCAATATGTGTTCATTATTTTCATGTTTGCTGTTTATCAATCTTGTGTGGTTTGGTACTAAAATAATATCTAATCTTTTTAATTTTTCAAAAACACAAAAACATATTCTATTTTTAGATACATAGTCTTAACAGCTATTGGTTGTCTATTTAACATAACATTTTTCATTTTGCCTTTACTTGTTTCCAACCACTTAAACAATAATGTTCTAGGGTAATTATTTAGGCCAAACATTCTTATTATATTTTGTATTTCCATTTCTTGATCGGTTTGCAATGTCGTTCTTTCTTTAATTTTGTTGATATACATCTGAAAAGGGTTCCTTTTTATATACAGGGTGTATTTTTTATCTTGAGACAATGAAATAACTTAACTGGATTTCATTATTTTGGGAAAAAGGTGTAGGGAAAAGTTGTAGGGTTTCGAAGGGCCAATCAATTGGGGACCTTGTATGTGACTTTGGCCTTGATCTTAAAGGTCATTTGAGGGTCAAGTCTGTTTTTTTCAATGGGAACACACATTTTTGATCCCGGAAATGGAAAGAGCAGGAAATTTCACAACCAGATATGCCTTTGAACTTATGGTCTAGGTCAAAGATCGAGATTATTTTAAGGTTTAAATTATAAGCTTTTTCTAATGAGAAACCATACTTTTTATTACTGGAATAGACAGGGATGTAAAAGTTACATTTTTTCATGACCTTATTACTTTGACCTTTAAAAGCATTCACTACTTTTAGCACTACATAGAAGTAACGATGTGGATGTAGTAGTTTTCGGCACCCTTTGAGGTGCTTATTTCCAGTAAGTCCCCTTGCCTCTCACTATTGCAGTGCTTGTTTTCAGTAAGTCCCCTTGCCTCTCACTATTGCAGTGCTTGTTTTCAGTGAGTCACTTTACTTCTCACCATTGCTTGAGATGTTGGTTTCAGGGAAAATTTTATAACAAATATTCAAAATGATTCCATTGCACTTCGATGCACTTGTTGAGCCGTGCTTAAAATTGTCACGCCTGAGATGACCTTTAGAGGTCAAATTTGGAGTACTGAAGGTCATGGCTGATTGTGAAATTTCCCACTCTATCCATGTAAATGTATTTTACATGGATAGAGTGTTATTTTAGTTGCAGTTTAACCAGCATGCCAGTAACCCCAATTTTTTGCACAGCATGCCAGTGATTCTGTGAAAATATCATAAAATTCCTAAAAAATGAGAGCAAATGTGGTTAATTAATTTGAGAAGAGAGAATAAAGAATACTAAAGCCTTATAAAAGAAATTAACAAAGATGATCCCGAAATGCATTTTCAATATTTAGGCAAGTTTAAAATGTACATGTAAAGATAATATATACATTTAGATTTCCTTAACTTAAGATATAAAATTCATCAAAGACAATTCTTCTCTAATTCTACTTATTTCAATTTTATTAGTCTTCATTTAGAAGGACAAAAAGGAGCTACTAATAGAGAAAAGTATAATTTCTTCAACTTGTTAACCAAAAGAGAATGGAAGGATGTTACTAGCAAGGTTGCTAGTAAGGACATTTTATTGCTGTTTAGACTGTCTTTTTTTTACATAAAAGAAACTTTAAATTTTACTGAATTTTGTTACAGAAATTGGAAACTGTTTGAACTCTTAAAAATGCCCAAAAGACAATTTGAGCTACATTAGTCTATAATTTAACTTTGATTATTATTTTAAGATTAAGTTTTTGAGTAGAAGGAAATAATTCTTACCCAAGATCTTGTACTGATTATTGTATATAGAATGTGCAAAATTGTTATGATAAGCTAGCAAAATGGTAACATTAAGCAGTTGCCTTGTAAAGCAATTTTAATTGTTTATTTATAATTAATGCATGCTTTAGTCCTTTAAATAATATTGTATTAATATTGATATATTGTGACTATAATCTATTAATAGGACTTTATTATACTGATTTAACTTGCAGATGAAATTAGAGATTGAATCAGTCTCTTGGTTCAAAAGAATAAACTTTTATTTGCATCTGTATACAAAATTTTCTTGTATTTTGGACCTTTTTGTCCCTTATCAGCAGGTGTATTATCAGTTATATTTCTAAAATACAATAATTTTTTAAATTATACAATAAAAATGAAGAGTTTAAAACTAATTACATACTTAATATATGATATTAATTTTGCTTTTTGTTCTTATACTTATTAAATGTATTATATTAACTTAAAAACAGTTAATTTATATTAAGGCTTATCACACCAGTTAACAAAAATACAAAATTTATTAGATTCAATATACAGTTAAGTTACAAAGGAAGATTTCACAAAGATTAAAAACCAATATGTACAGTATATTAAAATTACACCTAATATGCATTTTGAACTATTGATAGCCCTCATCAGTTGGTGCCATAACAATACAAAAATAGTATACATGAAAGGTTCTATTAGTAAGCCATAATGATGACGAAGACATTATAATTGAAACCAAAAACTGGATGTTAACACACAATTGTGGTATAATGACTTCTTAATTTTCATAATCAAACAGGCCATAAAGAGTTCTACATACAATTAATCAAAATCAGTTACTAACAATATTTTAGATACCTAGACCATAAAGCAAAAGACACTTACAAAGTTTGTTCCTGGGGATCAGCTGAAACATTACACCAAAACCATAATGAAAACACGATGTTAACACGATGATGCAAAAATGCGCTCATACAAGCAATGGCCAGCTGCAACTGCTACCATCTTTGCACTGGACTGCAAAAACAGAACCACAGAAAAAGAGGGTGATGTATATTTATAATCTAACATTAGGGAACCAATGACATAGTAACCAACCTACCGGTACATATCCAAAGACAACTCCACTCCTCTTTTTCCCTTTCTCTCTCCACTCTACAACATCAAGTCAATGCCAAAACATCATTGCCAACAATGCCAAAAAATTCCCTCTGGCAGTGGCTTGTACACTTTAAAATACATAATACATTTAATAAAAGATTTTTTAACATTTTACATATCAAGGCGGGGAATAGTAGCCTCTAAAGAAAGGTCATCTTTGCCAGTGAAATTCTTAATCATAAAGGCATATGAAGGGACAACAGATGGATACTTCTATAGTTATGTCTGTGAA